GGTTTTCTATATGTCTGAATTTACTTCAAATCTTTTGTCTGTTCAAAAAGCCACAAAGAAATCTTGATTGCCTGGCTATTTTCAGTCTTAATGATCTTTGTTTCAGGATATTAAGTCTGGAAATATAATTAGAGAATGATCTACAAAGAATAGTCTTGATGTTCATGAAGATCTCAAATCTATTTATGTTTCTGTTTTTGCTAATAATGCAACATGGCATGCTACACTGGGACATCCTCAAACTGAAGCTCTGAAGATTCTTCTTTTAAATGTATCTTTTGAGAATGATAAGTGTGAAACGTGCATCTTAGGAAAGCATTGTAAAACTGTTTTTCCGAGCTCATCTACTAGTTATGAGAATTGCTTTTATCTCCTCCATCTGATGTTTAATCTACTCCATGTGAAACAAGAGATAGATATACTTAGTTACTTTTATTGATGAAAAATCCAGATACACTTGGCTAACTCTTCTACCTTCAAAAGACCATGTTTTTAGGCTTTCTCAAACTTTATCTCATCAATCGCTTCCTAACTAACTGTCTCAATGACATTTATCCATATGAGGTACTAAACAATATTAAACGTTGTGCTAATTTCCTAGATGTGTTTGTTATGTCCATATTCCAGATAGCCAAAGGAACAAGCTTCAGCCTAAAATCACTAAGTGCATCTTTATTGGCTACTCTACAACACAAAAAGGCTACAAATGCTACAATCCTGATTCACGAAATGTCTTTGTCTCTCGTGATGTCGAGTTTGATGAGGAAAAATGATTCTATAAAGAAAAATATTGGAATAAGCTGAAGGACTTGGGTTATTCTGGTTCTGATCTTACTATCAGTTTAAGTCTCCTGGAAAATCATAACTTGCCAATAACAAAAAAAACTGTCCAACCACCTCCTACACCACAGCTTGAAGAAGAATCTGAAAAATGGTGAAACAGAGGAGGAAACTAATATAGAGGACTTCTGGAAATACAGAAGTAGATGATGATCAAGGACAAGAATGATGTTATTCTGCAAGAGCTTTCAGAAAAATCTCACAATTATGAGGAAGGAGCAGCACATGAAGAAGAGGTATACAAAGTTGTTGAAGACTATGAATTAGAATATAATCAAGTTAAAGACGATTCTGACGTTGCTGATTCTAGTTCAGAAGAAACAGTTACTACTTCTGATTCTGAATTTGCCGACTCTGATGGAATAGCTATTCACGAGGATGAATCACCACTTCCTCCTTGCAAAAGCACAAGGGCTACGAAAGACTCATCCAATTGGATCAATACTCAGGTTTATTATAATAATATTGCCTTTGCTACTGCTTATCCTATCTAACTCTATTGTTCTTTAGCTAAGCTTCATGATGATCATCATGCTTTCCGTAGTAAAACTGACCAGGTTTCTATTCCTCAAACATATGAAGAAGTAAAGAATATTGAGGTATGGATTGGGGCAGTTGATGAAAAACATGGAGCTATGAAAAGAAACAACACTAGGAATGTGATTGATCTCCCAAAAAGAAAGAAACTAGTGGGCTCCAAATGGGGTTTCCACAATCAAATACAACATAAATGGTGAAATAAAGAGGCACAAAGCTTGTTTGGTGGCTAAAGGATACACTCAAACAAATGGAGAAGATTATAAAGACACATTTGCTCAAGTTGCTAAACTTCATATTTTGCGTGTTGTTCTTTCTCTTGGGATTTATAGCAGATGGGTGTGAAAAATGCATTCCTCCAGGGAGAACTTGACGAAGATGGCCACATGAGACCCTCCCCCCGGTATTGAGATTGAAGAAGGCAATGTTCTCAAGCTAAATAAGGCTATTTATGGTCTGAAACAATCACCACGGGCTTGGTATCACAAGCTAAGCAAACCCCTCATTGGAAACGGATTTAAAAGGTAAAAAGCTAATCATTTACTTTTCACAATTCATGGGGAATCAGGTATTGCCGTTGTCCTTATTTATGTTGATGATATCATTATCACGAGTGATGACAAATAATGTATTCAAAATACAATCTTAAATCTGTTTTTGATATTAAAGACTTAGGTGAACTAAAATATTTTCTTGGCATAGAAGTATATTAATATGATGAAGGTCCTTTTCTATCTCAGAGAAAGTATACTCTTGATCTTCTTAGTAAAACAGGAAAATTTGGAGCTAAACTAGCAAATTCTATTAAAGAAAAATACAAAGACTCCCGTGAAGGGGAACCTGAAGGAGAACCATATGACAACATTGAACAACACTAAAGAATTGTGGGTAACCTCATTTATCTCACAGTTACTAGTTCTGATTTATGTTTTGCTGTGAACCCGGTCAACCACCATATGCAAGTTCCTACCTTCTATCATTGGAATATGGTAGAAAAAATTCTTAAATACCTAAAGGGAATTCTGGGAAAAGGTATTTGGATGCAGAAAAATGGCCACTTAGGGGATGTATTCAAAATAGAATTTAGAGTGATTTGTATTAAAATCACAAATCCTCTGTTATTGAAACATAAATTTAAAAATACTGTTTAAAATTCAGTGTTATTGAATTCACTGTTATTGAAAATAATTTAAATAAAGAGTTTTAAGAAATTTGGAATGATTTTAAGATGTTTTGATGGAATTTCCTAGTTAAAAATATAAGAATTCAAATCTCATGATTTTAGGTGGAGTTTAGTAGAATTTTGATATCAAATCATAATAATTTCCATAATTCAACCAAATCATCTAAAAACTCAAATTTTTCCAAATCATTCCAAATGTTAAGTTGAATACACCCCCTTTATACACTCAAAATATAACAAATAGTAAAGTCTAATTTTTTATATATATCTACTATTTATATATGAGCTAACATAAACAACAAATGAATAACACTTTCTAAAATTTTGTTTAGATATTAAAGTATGACACAGTTATTAATCAAACTCAATTAATATATATATATAGACTATTCAAATCAAAACATACAAAAAGCAGACAAATGATAAAAATAGATTTCACACCTTCCTACAAATTTTAAAACCAAATTATCAAATAATATATTGCAAATAAAACAGATTTCAACGATAAAGTGAATAAAACAGGGGCAGACGCGTAATAACATACGGGATCACATGCCCTAGCTAAAAAAAAATTATTTCTATATAATTAATTTCAATACTATGAGTTGAATATTTGTTTTATAGTTTAGTGTGCCCTCGGTTCAATTTTGTTTTAGATCTACTACTGAATAAAGATAAATTAAAACTCGTGAAATACCTGTTTTAACTTACATTATTTTAACTGATAAAATAAGGAAATGAATCTGAAATGATAGGTTATTTTTGATGAATAACAAATAAAAATGCATAGCTAACGATATGATATTCTTAGTTTTATCAAAAAGAACTCGGTTGAATAAGCTCTCCAGTAGCTAGTTCAAAAATCAAAATGGCAAGATAAAATATTTAAAAGCAAACAAACAGACTCAGGGAGTTCCAAAAGGTTCAAACAAAATTTAAACACAACTAATACCAACTTTTTCTATAGTCGAGCCAACAATATGTTAAATAAAAGTATAGAAATAAATAAATGATGATTGTTAATTCCCGGCCACACCCTATTGATATCAAACGATGTCGCATCATCATTACCTTCTCCGGCGGTTACTTAAACCGGTGGTGGTGGCTCTTGGCGGAGACCATCGTTGGTTGTCATCGTGTTGCTGCTCCAGTGAAATTGTGAATCTCCTTTGTTAATGCTGCTTCCTTCCTCTTTCACTCCGAGCTCACGGCTCATGAAATCAAAAGGGTGTTGCCTTGGTTGAGTCATAGCCATTGTTGGATTATCGCTCATGTTATGATGTTGTAATGGTCGAGCGACTGACCCAACAAAACTATGGAAGGGTCATCACTAGGGTATCAATCTGATTCATCTCCAAATTAGGATCTGGATGAAACTAAATTAGGGTTTCTGTTGTTATTGCTTCCTTGAGACGGAAGATATCTTTCATGGTACAAATGATAAGTTATAGAGCTTAGATTGTCGTTGTAAGATGCCATTTGCATCCTGATTTTTTGGTGAATTTGAGAGTTAGGCAATTTGAAAGATGCGAAAAACCATGGATCCATTAGATAATGACTTTGGTTCTCCTTTACAATACCAATGCTAAACCTTTGTACTGCTTAGCTCCTTCGTCTTAACCGACTGTTATCATGAAAACATTATTCATAGTGGTCCTTAGTTCCTCGGATTGCGCCTCAAACAGATGCATCAGTTGATAACGAAGCTGCGCGAAATCTAGCCTCTTCCTAAAATGCATGATCTTATTCTTTGAGAAAGATAGCAATCCATAGATCTCACTTAAGTTAAGATTATCAGTTCTTTTAGCAGTCACGTACTCCATGTTCTTCGTATAACTCTTCTTCCTAAATTGCTTTTAACCTTCCTTGTTTTCTCCTTGAGGTATGTATGACTCAAGAATGATCTCTTTCTTCTTCTGCTTGATGCCCGGTAAGGCAAAAAAAATCATCTAGGAGGCCACGCATCATCTCAACACATGGCGACAACCGTTGGTTAGAATAATCCAATAGAATCTGGAGTCTAAAACCATCGCTGCGTGGTTGACTCCAGAAAGCCAAGGGGTGTCTCTGGGCGTGAGTTAATATGAGTCGAAGAGGACAACTGAGCCAGAATCCGAAATTTTGAGATGATTGATTTGATCGGGAGCGTCTAATAAAAAGGTTAGGCTGGAAAAGTTATAGGTAACAATTTGATGAAACTTTCTTGCATGCACGAGTAATAATTCAAAACAATCAGGTGAAAATAAACCGATTTCCACAAGAAAAATATGACTTAAGCAAGAAATTTTACTTCACAGTAGTCAAACTATTATGGTTAAATCTCTGCAATCACGTTCCAAGACCTCTCAGGAACCCAAAATAAAACCCGACAGTGTTTCCTGCTCCCTATACACTTTTGACTTTATTTCATTACTCAGACTCGTGAGTATGAGTTAACCACTCACTTGTCTGAAAAAACTGCACAAGCCAAAAGGGGATGCAGGTACCGTGAACCGCTAAGAACCTTCAAAGGCTGTAAGCAACCGAGTCTTTCTCGTCTCAAACCCATAAATCTTTGAGCTGATTCCTACTTTGAGAAGGGCCTCTTTTATGTGCAATACTACGACTTACGAACGCTGGACCAAACGTCCCCATAAAAACCCGAGTGATGTTGATAAGTGTTACTCCCCATGTTCGATTGAGATCTATAGATTCCCGTTGAAGGACAAAATCCATTGGAACGGCTGATATATTTAGCCTGAAAGATCAGAACAGTGTTGACAAAGCCATCGAACAGATCATAAAGAACACAAATAATTTGATGTTCAAGCGTGCGACTATAGCTTACCATATGTTAAGTGAATATATCAAGTACCCGATGATGATTTTTGGATCCACATTTGCTTCTGCAAATCAGTAAAAATGAGTTTTTTAAAAACATGAATCATAAGAGCATATTATAAGGCATATAAGAAAGGCTTTGGTTTGGCTTGCCTCCTGTGAATTGGGACCACCACCACCACCACCTCCTCCTCTCCGGGATGATTTACCCTCACCGGTTATCACAAAGCCATCTTCTTTTCTATTGCGACCTCCAACACGGCGACTAGAATGTCTAGCAGAACCTGGATAGAGTAAGAAGTTTTGGCAGAAGCAACATCACTTTTCTTGATTCATACAATGACACAAGGCGACATTATGCATTATCCAACTTTAATGAACTAACCATTTTCAAGAGACTGTCCACCAGAAGAATTCACCACTTCTCCAGGTCTTTGCAACAATGTTCTTTCTTTCACTTCTCCATTATTTGCTGTAAGATCATACGCAAGATGAGTTGAGAATGTCCATGGAGCACTACCATAAAATTTAAACTAATTACGTATTGGTCAACAACAGAAACAGTACCTACTGAAGATGACGGTTGATCCTCGCTGATACTGGACCCATCACCACGACGGAGAGGAGCCCACACAACACGATCAGGTCTGTCCTTGTTTCTTGTACGCCTCTCTTGCTTCTCACTGTTGGTACCCGAAACTTGATACTCTCTCCCTGCACATTTACAATCTGTATTTTAATTATCAGCCTAACTTGGGAAGCTGGCATTTTTACTCAAATTCTACTCCCTTATAACCTGCTCGAGTGTTTGCTGGCCGAGGAGGTCGCTTGAAGTCTTCTGCTTCTGAGAGTTCCCCTCTTTGCTCAGGCTGGACAAAAGATGAAGACTGACTTGGTCGCAGCTCATTTTTCTGAAGTATTCCCTTGATCAACCTCCCACCAAGATCACTCTTCTGATTCTGTCTTGAAGCCGACGAGCTTCCGGAAAGATTAGTTTCCATCTGCTGTACCGGTTGTGGCGAGGGGTTCTGAAAAGCCATTTTAACAACAGGTGACAAATGAGAAGCTGTGCATATGACTTATGATTCTGTCTTCCACTATCATATTACTAGACGAAGAAGAAATCAAGGCTTTTGTTCTGCACAACTTTCTTAAGTAGCATAAAGCTTACACCGGGATTGTCTCTATCTTTCGATTTCAGGAGCAAAATCTTCTTCTTTCCAGAATCCATAGTCAATGCAATCCCTGGGAGAGAGCTGTCGATGACAGAGACTGCAGATTGTGTTGATTAAGAAATAAATTAGAAAGACAGTGACCCTTCTAAACCCATGTGATTAATTAGTAATACCAATAGCTGTTGACTGATTACCAGTTTCAGTTTCTGGTAAGTCCTTTGCACTTGAATTTGTCTGATGATAATCTTGCTTGGAGCTGCCAATGTCTGATGTAGTCTTCCGGAGAATGCTTTTTGAACCGTCTTTTTCCACATACTAATAAAAAACGAAAAAAAGATTTAAGCTGACATAGGAGTAAAATGGCAATTTAGGCTGACTTTTCACCGCTACAAAGTCAGAGACACACCTTTTTCTTTTCAGAGTTCCGTTTCGAGGGCCTTGAACTTGGCTTGTTTGTAGAGACTGCTCTGGCTCTTCTGCCTCCTCTTCGAACATCTAATAAACCCTGTTGCGTAAACAGAAACCAGAGATCAACAATAGAAGTCCCATTTCGAAACGTATACACTACAAAGAATCCAAGGAAAGCTCTGACTTTCCATAGAGACCATAATGTACCTGAGATCCCATCACAGTAGCACGTTTTTGACGTATGAACTCCATTAGAGGGGTAACAATGGGAGCCGGTTTTGAAGCACCTACAGAGTGATTTTGTTAGCAAATTCCCATTAATTCATAAGTTATCATCCATCCAGAAGAAGAAATATCAAAAGTGATTGCAAATCAGAACTCGTTTTCGAAAGACGAACCAGACTGCTCAGCTTCTTTTCTTTCCAACTGGATTTCAGCACTTGGGAGGTTCTCAACAGGCTGAGCAATTAGCTTAAGGAATTCCAGATATTCAAGGTCTTTGCTAATAGACCCTTCACGAGGATCTTTCTTGTCACATGGTTTCGGCACACGCTGTGATGGCGCATATTCAACTATGGCCTTGAACTGAGCACCTATACAGATATAAATCACATAATCTAATCTCCGAATATATGAGCAACTAAAAACACATGAAGCCAGATTATAGAGTCAAAATACCCTTCTCATTAACAAACACATGCCCGTTCAAAAACGCAGCGAACTCATAAACGTCTTCTGGTACCTTGAAACCTACGTAGGCCCGTGCATACTTCTGGTTTTTATAGCTGAGGAAACCGAAAGAGAAAGACACACATCACTTCGAGTGACACTAAAACTCATACTGAGTATAGTTTCTTTAAAACGAAAGACCACTAAAAGCAACTAAGTAGCGAAGTCTCTAACGCAATCAGAGACGAAGATTATTAATCCTACCAAACCTTTTTTCCACTGAACAAAACCGATCATCTTCCTCAACTAATCGTAACCCCAAAAATAAGAAACATTCCTAGAATCCTATGTAAGTAGAATTCAGCAAGTAGAAAAACCCATGAATCAATTCAAGACCCAACGAGAAGAGACCTCATGTAACAAAACGAAAAATTGATAAGAAACCCTTACCTCGACTTCCCAGGACGAAAGGAAAACCAATTGTAGCGATCACCGAAACGAGGCTCGATTTGGGATAAGAGATCGGACTGAGAAAGAGAAGGCGGCAAGTGCCGTACAACCACCTTCCTCTTCGGTGACGGGTCCTTCATCAGATTAAAGAACCCTAATTCGTTCGGGAAAATCCGGATATCAAAGAGAAACACGACGAAGAAAGGTGAAACGCATCGGAGACAGTGAAAAAAATCGCACGCAATTTTGCCCTAATTTGATTTCTCTCTTTCGCTAAGCCCTCTCTCTCTAGAAAACACAGCTGAAAAAATAAATTAAAAAGGAGAAAATTCTCATAAATTTCGAACCCGAAAAAAAAACAAACCGCATTCGAGAAGAAAAATGTGCCTACGTGGACCTCATGGGCCAAAATTTTGGGCCTATTGTTTCAGCCGTACGATGGAATTTAGGGCATGACGGCAGTAATCATTCTTATAAATGACCTTTCTTAATGATTTTTTAAGACATACATTAATTTTTAAAAAAAAATTGGTTCATTTTCTCTGTTGGGTTTAAGTGTTCAAGTCTGGGCTTCCAAAATAAGAAATTTTTTGTATGTTGAGCTTAACAGTTCTGTTTTAGTTGTTAAAGAAAGTTGCAGATGTTGACAGCTAACGAACTGGATAAAACTGTTAAGTATCATTATTCAAAAAAGTATCTCGAAGCTTGTTATTGTTTTATAGAGAGAGTGAGAGTAATTGTAAGCAAGTGAGAGAACATGTGAGAGTGCGATTGATCTTGTAAATTTTTCTTCTTTGGTGTAGTGGATTTTTCGGGATAAGATCCCGGCGTGAGTAGGCTGTCGGCAATGGTGGAGGTTGAACACGTTAAACCTCATGTGTCTTTACTTTTCCGCAAATATATTTCTATCTTCTTTCTCGGATTGATAAGAAACAAGCACGACATAAATCGGATTGAATCAAGAATCGTTGGTGTGGTGTTTACGGAGGCTAAATCACTACAAGTGGTATCAGAACCTTGGTTTTAAGGTTTAGGAATTCATCGCGATGTCGTCGTCAAAGCACGAGGTGGATAAGTTCAATGGAGAAGGTGACTACGTCATGTGGAGAGAGAAGTTGATTGCATCTCTTGATCTCCAAATTCTTGGGAGTGTATTAGAGCCAGAGCATATGGTTTTCCAAGTTGATCCAAAAAATCCAGCAGAAAAATCAGTAGATCAAAAGGAGCTAGCGGATCGGAAGAAGAAAGCCAGAGGTGCGATCATCCTGAGCTTGATGGATAACGTTTTAAGGAAAGTCATAAAGGAGAAAACCACAAAAGGTAAGCTGAACTTACTCGATGAACTTTGTAACCCCAAGACGCTCACTAGTAGGATTCATCTTAAGCAGAAATTGTTTGGTTTTGTGATGAATTTGAATCTGTCATTGGAGAAGAACGTTGACAGTTTTCTAAAGACAATGACTAATCTTGAGAATTCGGATATAGTAGTTTCGGATGAAGATCAGGCGGCAATATTGTTGATGTCATTGCCTCCCCAATATGAAGGGTTCAAGGATACAATAAGGTTCAGCAAGGAAACTTTGAATTTTAAAGACGTGATCTCTGCATTTAAGTCGAAAGAAGACCAAACAAGACCTCAAATGAGGGATCAAAAGGTTAATGCAGAAGGTATGCATGCCAAAGAGAAGACAAACTCGAGGTAGTCAAAATTAGATGGTAAGAAACATGCCAACAACTCAAAGAGCAGGAAAGGCAAGGAGAAGTCAAAAGGGAAGAAGTCTTGCTGGTATTGTGGCGAAGAAGGGCATTTCAAAATGCAGTGTCCTAAGAGAGGAAATGGAACTCACGGACATGGGAATCAGCATGGAGAATCCTCTCTAATTAACAATCAGGGTGAAATAAAAGTGGATGTGCTGTTCGTGGATAAAGTCTTGTATATCATAGATTCAGACTTGGAAAATAAGTGGATCATTGATTCAGGTTGCTCATTCCATATGTCATGGAAGAAATATTGGTTCATTGAGGTGGATGAAAACAGATCAGGCTCAGTGAGAATGGCCAATGATACTTTGTCTAAAGTAAAAGGCGTAGGCTCTGTGAAGATCGTTGGATGGATTAGAGGTTATCTTAACAAATGTCTGATACATTCCTAACATGAAATGGAATCTTATATCACCAGGAACTCTTAAAGAACTAGGTTTCAGTTACAGTTCGACAGGAGAAGTTCTTAAGATTACAAAGAATGGCAGAGTTATTCTTCAGGGAAGAAGACATCAATCTCTGTATTTTCTGCGTGAGAGGAGATTCATGACAGAAGCTTGTGGGAACACAGTAAATGTTGATGATACAAGATTATGGCACAGCAAGCTTGGTCATATGAGCCAAAAGGGCTTGGATTTGCTGGTAAAGAGAGGCTTGTTGGACAACAAAAGGGTGTCAAAACTTGACTTCTGTGAAGATTGTGTGTTTGGGAAAGCTCACCGGCTGAAGTTTGACTCTGGAAGACATACATCAAAGTGTCCAGTGTCTATATTCATTCAGATTTATGGGGTTCACCTCATGTTCCTAAGTCACTTGGAAACTGTCAATATTTTCTGAGCATTATTGATGATCATAGAAAGAAGGTATGGATTCAGTTTCTGAAGAGTAAGTATGAAGCTTATGTAATGTTTAATGATTGCAGAATCGTGGTTGAAAATCAGACTGAGAGGAAGATTAAAAAAAACTAAGAACTGATAACGGCTTAGAATTCAGTAATCAATAGTTTGATTCGATGTGCAAAAAGAATGGCATTGTCAGGCATAAGACTGTGGCTTATACTCCTCAGCAGAATGGAGTTGCAGAGAAAATGAATAGGATAATAATGGATAAGGTTCGGAGTATGCTCAGTGAATCTGATCTACAGAAGGTTTTCGGGCTGTCGCTGCAGCTACTCCAGTACATCTTATCAATAAGTCTCCTTTGACTGCATTAAATTGTAAGATACCAGATGAGGTGTGGTACAAAACCGATTTAGACTACAGCTATCTGAAGAGGTTTGGCTGTATCTCATATGTTCACCCTGATGATGGTACACTCAATCCCAGAGCTAAGAAGGGAGTGTTCTTGGGATAACCTACTGGTGTAAAAGGATAGAAAGTGTGGTTGCTTGAAGATAGGAAAGCAGTGATAAGCAAAAACGTGATCTTCAAGGAAAACCAGTTGTTTAAGGATGCTGAGAAGACAGGTTCATGGGTAGTTGAAAGTGAGAAATACTTAGAAGTGGTGGAGTTTGAAACGCAACAAGAAGTGCATCAAGGGATGCATCCAGTTAAAGACATGTCTGCAGAATCGTCAGAGGATGTATCAGGGTCATCAAGTCATGAAAATGACAACTTGTGGTGTCAGATACTGATAGCGACAGTGACTATGAGTAAAGGGAAACTACATTGAGTCGTCACCAAATGCACAGAGTTATAGACTAGCTCGAGACAGAGTAAGAAGATATGATATACTTGTTCCGTCCAGGTACATAACGAACCATGTTTTGGGTCACTTATTCTTAACAACAGAAGATGGGAAAGCATTGGAGCCAGACGGATATATGGAAGCTAAAAAAGACAAGGACTGGGAAAAATGGAATGGTGCAATGGGTGAAGAAATGGACTCATTGGATAAGAATGTTACTTGGAATCTGGTAAAACTTCCTGAGAAGGCAAAAGTCATTGGCTGCAAATGGATCTTTAAGAGAAAAGAAGGAATCTCAGGTGTTGAAAAGCCTCGCTACAAAGCAAGGTTGGTTGCAAAAGGATATTCTCAGAGAAAGGGTATTGATTATAATGAGATATTTGCTCCTGTTGTTAAGCATGTGTCAATTCGGATTCTTCGGGAGATCGTTGCTCATGAAGACATGGACCTGGAACAATTAGATGTTAAGACGACGTTTCTTCATGGTGATTTAGAGGAGACTATATACATGAAGAATCTTGAAGGGTTTACAGTAACATTAAAAAGAAGATTGGGTTTGTTTGCTCAAGAAATCTCTTTATGGTCTGAAGCAAAGTCCAAGACAATGGAATCAGAAGTTTGATCAGTTCATGAAAGGGTTAATTTTACAAGAAGTAAACTCGACAACTGTGTGTATGTGAAGAAGTTATCTGATGGGTCTTATATCTACTTGATGCTCTATGTGGATGATTTTGGTTACAGTCAGGGGCAGGTGGAGCTATTTTGTGATTCTCAGAGTGCGATAGCTTTGTCTAGGAACAATGTTCATCATGAACGGACAAAGCATATGGCGGTAAAGATGAGTTTTCTCAGAGAAAAGGTTGAAGAGAAGTTAGTGGAGATCACAAAGATTTCTAGTTTAGTAAAAATGCAGACATATTTACTAAGGTACTTCCTGTACATAAAGAGACCGAGGCATTGAAGATGCTTCAGCTGTATTCTGAATGAGAAGGTTCAGGGTCTGGAATCATGGAGAAGCTATAAAGAAGAAGATGTTGGTTGAACACAAGGAAGAGTTTGAAGCAAGAAACGTCGAAGCTTAAGGTGGAGAGTTGTTGGGTTTAAGCGTTCAAGTCTGGGCTTCGGAATAAACTCGGTATTGAGCCTGTAACAAGTTGAAGCCCAAAGGTGTTCGGATCCAGAAGAGAAGCGACGTTGTATGGGAAGCTTCTTGTTCATGGAGCTTAACGGCTCTGTTTCAGCTGTTAACGGAAGTTGCAGGTGTTGACGACTAACAAACTGGATAAGACTGTTAAGTGTCGTCACTCACAAGTGTGAGAAGTATCTTGAAGCTTGTTATCGTTTTCTAGAGAGAGTGAGAGAAATTGTAAGCAAGTGAAAGAACGTGTGAGAGTGCGATTGATCTTGTAAACTCTTCTTCTTTGGTGTAGTGGATTCTTTGGGACAAGGTCCCGACGTGAGTAGGCTGCTGGCAACGGTGGAGGCTGAACACGTCAAACCTCTCGTGTCTTTACTTTTCCGCAAATCTGTTTCTATCTTTTTTCTCAAATTGATTAGAAACAAATGCGACGTAAATCGAATTGAATCAAGGATCGTTGGTGTGGTGTTTACATAGGCTAAATCACTACATTCTCCTTATAAGTTTCCTATGGGCGTAGACAATAAAACAATATGCAGTAATTTCGTAATTCGA